TCATGGCTGCAGTCTCCGTCTGCGGTGGTCTTGGAGCCCAAACAAATGAAGTCTGTTACTGCTTCCATTTCTACCCCTTCTATTTGCCAGGAAGTGTTTACTTAGTTCTGTATAATTTACTTGAAAGTAAATCAGATTTACTTCTATGCAATTTCACATACAATCCCATTGCAGGGTTGACCATCTGATTACTGTAAATGGGTCTGTGGCTATGGTTCCATCTAAAAGGATCCAGTATTAAATTGAACTTGAAGACATGACAATGTATTCTAAATGAGTGTTACTATTTCCACACGGTCACTTTGCTTCTCCTGCTTGTATCTTCACATGTTTTTTTTTTCAGTACCTATTGTGAAACAAACCTGGGAAGGAGAAGCCACTTTCATTGAATACTACAGTGACTATGCAGAAAGTTCAATACCTACTGTTGATATAGGAGTACCAAATACTGAAAGAGGTCAGTTTAACGTCTGATATTTTTTCATGAGTAGTAACAAGTATTCTATATGAATGCCTGGAACATAAGTAAATGCTTATTGCTGGTTTGGCTCCAAGTTGCAGGCTTAAGTGATGCTTAAGATGCAAAAGGGGATCCGCTCTATTGCTGCTCCTCTACCATCTGTCATGTGGGATTGGGCTGAGCAGGAAAGGTCAAATATTGGAGCAAAATTAATGTCATAAATAGAGACAAGTCAAGGATGATGGTTGCCTTGGGGTCCATAGGTATAGGTGGCTTTGGCCAATCTTTAAAGCAACCAAACCTGGTTGTGGTCATCTGCAGGGCTGGCACACACCCACAAAGAAATAAACATGTTTGCCTATGGTGGAACAATGGAGTGGACACAACTTATGGGCAGGCATGGCAGACAGCTTCAGTGCATGTTATCTAAGGAGAGCAATAGACATGACCAAAGAGATACAGAAAATTCTGACGATTTGCTGCCCTCTAATGGTCATCTAGATCATTGCTCTGGCTCAGATGTGGAAGCCCTGTGTTGGGGCAACCTACCTGCACTGCTCTGCCCCAGGAGTGTCTAAGCCACCACAGCCGCCATTCCTCCCTGACAGCAGTTTATAAGTCCCAAGCAGCACAACAGATCTGCTTCATCCAATGTAGCCACTAGTTCTTTAACTGATCATTTCTGTTGGGATGGGGGCGGGCATCTGAGAGGTTTGCCTTGGGACCCTGAATGCTCTATGTCAGTGTTGTCCAAACTTGGCCACTTTAAGATGAGTGGACTTCAGTTCTGGGAGTTGAAGTCCACTCATCTTAAAGTGGCCAAGTTTGGACAACACTGCTCTATGTACATCCTTGTGGACTTCAGTTCTGGGAGTTGAAGTCCACTCATCTTAAAGTGGCCAAGTTTGGACAACACTGCTCTATGTACATCCTTGGGCAAAAATGCCAGTTACATACACAGCATGTTATTGCACCCTTCCAGAGACTAGATGTCTGTCTACATTACAGCAAGGGCCAGCCATCGTACTGAAGCTGGAGGCCTGACATTAATTTTCATTTATTTTTCAGTCTGCAAGGGCCAGGGTAGGTATGGCCAGGGTTGCAATGAAGTTAAAATGTTCAGCCCATTTTTGAGAATTTGGACACTGGGCTTGGTCATTTAAAGGGGAAAGAGTTTTACTGCAGCAAACAACAAATAAATAAATACACTATCCCAAATTAATATTTTTACTAATTAATTATAGCAACATGATCTGTGCTGCAAAATAAGTCTTAGAAGGCCAAGGATTGCCCTCTTTTTAAATTACTATATTGCATTAAAGGCAGCCAGCCAAGGAGATTCTATCTCCAGATCCTAGTCCAGTTTTAGGTGTCCTCTATTAATCCAGAAAATCCCAATTATTATTAGGCTGATTGACCCATACAGTTACTGAACATGCCTTATTTAGAAATATATCAAGACTTTTACTTAATACCTACTTCATTTCCCCCCCCCCCCATTTTTGTTACCTTCTAGGCCATTGTGGAAAGACTTTTGCCATTTTGGAAAGATTTTTAAATCATAGTCCTGTAAAAATGCCTTGGTTAGTAATTGTGGATGATGATACCTTGATAAGGTATGAATTTCAGAATCAAATTAAATTGAATTATACAATGTCTTGTGTCTGTTATCACCAATATAACTTGCAGGATTGCAAACCCCAAATGAAATGTGAAACATGAAGATTTATGATCCGATGCAATTTTTTTTGTCAGACATCATATCCAAATAGCACAAATTAAAAGCATCTCTCAAATGTTAAATTAAATTTACAACTGGATATTTGAGCACATTGTGGCATAAAATTGAATTAGTGTATAGAAAGGTAGCAAATTTGAAACATTGCTCTAGCATTGGAATTTATGAGTGTATATGAGGAAAAAATGTACAAGTAATAACATGGCATTGGTTGCCCAAAGGTTTCCACCAGCTCACTCAAGTAATGCAAAGTAGAGGATTATGAAGTAGTGTCCAAGCCAACAACATTTCTCTTCTGTCTTGGTAATGCAGTAAGCACTCTACAAGTTTGAGCCCACCACTGGAACTGGAGACCTGGCAGCTGTTGCTCCAGACATGAAATCTCCACTGAATGGCTGCCTCCTCCTGGATGCAGCTTAGTCTCCTCACCACATCATGCTCTCTTTCGGGGGGGGGGGGAGATTGATATAGTAGATTATGCACTCTTTCATCTTTGGGTCACACAGGCTGATAAGCATGAATGTTCGCTTGTCACCTAAGGACTTCAGACCAAGCATGATTACATAATGAAGTGGGTTACCAGGTTCTGACATTCTCAGAGTCCAGCTTCTAAGACCTTTTTTGGGGGGCGGGGGAACATGGGCTGAAACCAGCATGCGTATCTCTGCTTAAGAAGTTTGTTGCAAAAAGCAATGGTACAAGCAAAAACCAGTTTTGATCATGAGTCATACTGGCTGGAGAATTGTGGGAGTTGAAGTCCACAGGTCTTAAAGTTGCTGAAATTGAGAAATACTAAGCTAGATGGAGTTTCATCAGATGGAGAAATCTTAGGGATCAGATCTTAGGGCAGTATGAACTTAGTGTCACACTGATTCTCTTTCCTCCTTTCTTCCATATTCTGGTGGAAATACCCAGCAATTTTAAGGCACATGGATTGCTGGCAGTACCTCCTGCCTGTTGTTACTGAAGTGTTTGGACTGTGGGAAACAGCAGCAGCTATATAAGGAGTAAATAATTTCTTCAGTGCCAGATATGTTTTGAATAAAATTCTTTTTTAAAGAGACTTTCAATTCCCATTGACCCCCACCACCACCAATTTTGATCTGAAGATAATAGAGTGGACTCACCCAATAGCTATGCTGTTATTATTACTATGTAAGATCACTTATGTAGTTTCATAGGCTTGACATGAGCTCTGGAAATAAATTTTATCCAGGTTACTCCAGAGATAGTTCAACCATGCTACTGTTCAGATCTAAAGCAAGATCTGGTTAAACAGCACTCTGTTCTTCCATAGTCTAGCAGAGGAAAGCATACATTACTGTCATGTTTTATTTTTCACTAGAAAGAAAAACAATTTGTAGGAAAACTAAGTCTTTATGAAGGAATGAAGCATTGCCAATTTTCACTGATATTGATGAAGGAGCTTTCAAGCTATGTTTCTTTAAAATCTGGCTGTTATTGTTTGGACACAGAATGCAATGAAATATTTTATGTTAGGAGACCATATGATGGGGAGAAAGCATGCCAAATTTCAAACAGATAGGTTAAGGGAGGTTGCACAGAGGAAGACATATTCATAAGGAATCATGATGTGTATTTCTGGATACAATGGAGATAATTTATGGTGTTGACAGAAGAAATTAACTGACTGGTCTTTTTCTTAAAGTAACTAAGTTTTTAGGAGAGGTCAAGTTGATAATGTAGCTCCCAAAACATTTTCACACAACCATCTAGGACAAAATACTGTATGATACTGAAATGCAACAAATGATACAGCTCTCTTTCAACCCCAAAGATTTCTCCAGCCCCCGCAGTTCTGTGATTGCAGCAACCAAAGGTGATCATTCTGATTTAATCACACACAGTATTTTCCCTCCATCACTACACTACCATTGTGCTTATCTAAGCAATAGAAAAATCTTGTCCTTTTGGCATACCTGCTCACCAGCTTTTCTAAGATGTCAGCAGTCTGGCAAAACCAGTCAAGACTAGTTTCATGTAAGCCCAGAACAGATGTCTATTCAGATCCATTTACTATTGTCTGGGTAGAATGAACTCCTGTTCCAAATTACTCTGCTCCAGCTTGTTGCCTGGGCTTTGATCAAATCTAATGTACAAGCGTAGTAACTATGTGAGTACATTTGGTGGTTGGGTTCAAACTTTGCAAGCAGATTGCTACAAAAGCAGATTTTAAAAACTATTCTATTCTGCATGCCCCAAGCCTTTCCAAATACTTGGAGATTTTCCTGAATAGCCTGGGTTTTGGTATGGGGGCCTGATAGCCAGAGACAATGACTTCTATATTTTGGATTTGGAAACTGACATGGAAAATGTTAGCAAGTACCAGGTTTGTGGCTTCCTCAAATATAAAAGATGTATGTATTGATTATAGTATTAAAAATTAAGGTCATGCAACATGAGGAATGTAAAGCATGGCATTTATGCTTTAAAGTTGCATTTTCCAGTTAGTGCAAGGGAAAAATAATAATAATCTCTCTTTCCTATGCTCTTATATACTAAAATAACCAAATACAGTAATGAATGGGAGGAACTCTGACATGTTTAAAACCCAGTTTTCTTTTTATATTTGTTAAATTGAAGATTCAGTGCTGCATCCAATAATTTTCTCTTTTACAAAATAAGCATGACTTAAAAAGGAAAAAATTACCAGAAGAAGATATACCTAATACATTAGTTTCTGTGAAATTCTACAATGGCTGATAGTTTAATTCATTTTCAGTACAAATAATTATTTTGGGATTAACATGGGATTAGCATAGGAAGGAGAGTACATGCAACATTATTGGTCGCAAAAGCGGCCATACAATGTGAGAAGTTCTCACTTTCAGATTTCAAATTTTTTTGAACTAGTGATGAGTGTGGCATGCTTCTCAAAATCCTTTTCTAGCATCCAGGTCTTGAGGCAACAGTCTAGTATTTACTGATGTGTCAGTGAATTAACTGGTGCCAAACAGACAGAACTTTGCAATAAATCCCATTAGGACATGATTTTTTCCATATTTGGAATATGTAGCTGTTTGCTGATCTATGATAGCTTATATTTCATGCTCCATATTGGCAACACTGGGAAGTTAATCACACAACCAGCACTTCTGCAGAAGTAATTAAAATGTCATCATTTGATGCCAAATATCAGCATGTACATCACACTTGAATATAAATGTAATAACATCATATCAACTCACCCAGAGCTCTATTCTGTATAATCTAAAAGCCTAGTTTATATTACTAGAGTAGAGTGATTAAATTAAAAAAAAATCTACCTATTTGGTATTTACCTTGGTACATATATTTATCTATTGAAAAAGGCAATAGAATATATATTCCCAAAATTTATATCCCACCAACTTCCAAAGACTCCTGAAAATTGTCATCATAAATAATAATTCAAAGCAAAAATTAAACATTTCAAAATTGACATCAAATGCTAAAATTAAAAATCAGTGTTAAAAATGGCCTTATGCAACCAGATATTCATCCCCCAAATGCTATATGGAACAGCAGTGCTTTTACCACTCTCCGAAGCACAAGCAATTTGAATATTTGGCAATAGCATGCCCTCCACTAAGAAGGTCTGCTTCTGAGTTCCTCCCCATCCCAGCACAGGCACTTGTAGCTTCCCTATCCTGGTGGATCAAACAGGACAGGCAGAGTCCCTTCGGAGGAGACAGTCCCATAAATAATCTGAGACTAAACTATATAGAGCTTTAGAAGTTAACATCAGCACCTTGAACTGAATTTGGAAACAAACTAGTGTAATGTTCCTAAAGTGTCTCTAGTACACTACTGTTTGGTTCATGGTATATTGTAACAACTGTAGTTTCCAGGTGGTTTTCAAAGACAGCCCTAGGTGGCACTCATCACAATAGTCCAGCCTTGAGATAATAAAGACAGGAGTAACTATCACTAAAGCTTTCACTCCAACTGTTGCTCCAGAAGGAATTATAAGTCCAGGAGGAACCCCAAGGCCATGGACCTGCCCCTCAGGGGGAGAATAACCCCGTCCAGAGAGAGTCACCAGTGAAACCAAAGGTTACTGGGAAATACCATCTGGGAGCTCCCTAATTTTTGAGTATAGTAGCTTATGGATATGGGTGATCAGTGTTGAAAAATCTTTATAATTCAGATACAACAGAGCTCTGGATGTAGTCCTCTGTGGGAGGGGAAGTGGTGAAATGTGCATCAAAATTTATGATGGAAATACTTCAAATCATGTACTTGCATCAGATGTCAGGACACATAAGGGTGGGATCATGATATCATCAAATCAAATCTTTATTACAATCATAGACGAGTTCACATCATCATCATGATTTGCTACAGACACCACCAGCCCTGAATTTTGTAATTTCTCATGGTGGTGGTGGTGGTGGTGGTGAATTGCAGAAATACATTAAAATGATGCAGCCTGACATAAGGGATTTATAAAAATTATGTTTAGCTTTTAAACAGTGAAATTATTCTTGATTATCATTAGGGAATAATCTGGGGAATGTTACAGGTGTTTATTCTGAAGAAAAAAACCAAACAATATGACAGAAAAGCATATTCTTTTTAAATAAATAGTTGATGATTATATGGATTTTTCTTAGAAGCAAACCTATGAGGTCTTAAAAAAAAAAGTAACTACTGAAGATGTTTTAAATATTCCAAAGACATTCTCTTAAACATTTAGCTTCAGCAATCTACCTGTGCTTGCTTAAGCTGATAGTTTCAAGGTTTTGGAATTTTTCAAAGTAATTAAATGTATGGATGGTATTTCACCAAGTGATTTTTATTCCAGCATCTCTAGGCTCCAGAAATTACTCAGTTGCTATGACCCAAGTGAGCCAGTGGTTCTTGGGGAACGCTATGGCTATGGCTTAGGATCAGGAGGTTATAGTTACATTACTGGTGGAGGAGGGTAAGTCATTTAAATTATTCAAAAGAGTAAAGATACACAAGAGCAATAACTCAGTTGTTTTTCAACAGCTTTCACGATGGGTAGATTTTCTCTCATATCGGGCTCTGCAGAGAAAATCTACCCATCACGAAAGCTGTTGAAAAACAACTGAAATCTAACAGATTTTCTCTGTTATCAGCTAGAGCTTTTTATTCAATAATAATGCTTTTCTTCTTGGTTATTAATTTTTTCTTGGATTTGTCTTAAAAGGATGGTCTTCAATAGAGAAGCAATCCAAAGATTGTTTACTAGTAAATGCCGGTGCTACAGCAATGACGCCCCTGATGATATGGTAATTGGAATGTGTTTCAGTGGTTTAGGAATTCCAGTTACACACAGCCCTCTCTTCCATCAGGTGAGGATTATCACATGTGTAAATAAGTATCTCATTCTTAATATTAGGCCAGTTTCCTTAAAACCTAATTAAAATTATACTACAGCTGGGAAGTAGATTAAAAAAATATTCCTACTCTTTCCTAGAGTTTTTACTACTTAGTACTAAGAACAGGGATGCATGGCACTTAAAAACTATAGATGGAATGCTGGAACTTTGGCATTGAAGTATAGAGCACACATTATTAACAGAATGGCAAAAGATACTTTTTTTGCTCTACACAAATTAAATCCTTCTGGAATAATAAAGAAGAAATAGGTGAACAGACAGTGAATATCTCAGTGCTTCAAATCATGCTTATTTTCACAAATATGTCAAGTCTTTTGTCTGATACAAGCACCAACAAGAGCATCTTATCTTCTCACAATACAGCAGTCAAAACATTGCATACTTTTAAGACATATTTAGATCATTTAAAAACAAAATCAAGAGAAATTAAGTCTTCCCCTGTAGTTTTAACTACATATTTTGTGTTGTTCAGTTTCTACATGTAGCTACACAATTTTTTCCACTAAGTCATGTTATATAATCATTCAAGCCACTTTAACTTCCAAAAGATAATGTCTAACTTTTCAGTGTGTGCTGATCATCACCAAATTTAACTAGAACCCATTTGTAATGGTAGCATGAAGCATAATAATAATAAATTAACAATTTATACATATCATAAGTTTTCTCATATCGACATTTAGCAGCAATCTCATGCTTGAACTATAGGCTTAGTTTATATTAGGAAATGGTCCAGTCCTATTTCACCTTATCTTTCTAGAAGATATAGATTCTGGGGAATCCACTTAAATACTCTGATCTTTGATAAGTATTTAATTAATCTCCTGAGATGATCTCATTACTGCAACTGTTGGATGAACAATTCAGGTTATGCAACTAAGATATTGTTACCTCTTAATCTTTGATTTCAATCAGCCCTCTAGTTCAATAGCAAGTAAGGCAAATTCTTATTATGCTGAAATGCTTAACTTCAAATAGAGAAATGCTGGTGCTATCCAAAAGTCATCCAGTTTTTCCTTCATCCACCCCTCTGGTACAATATAGCCTCAAAGAAGCATAAATCCCCACAGTAATTTTAAAATTCAGCAGTCATAAGGCAAAATGTATGAGACTTAATATGGAACCAGAATAAAAATTGCTTAAATAATAAATTAAGAATTAAAACAAGGTAGGCATAGGAAATTCCATAATTCCAGGTCACAACCATCTATGCATATCATTATTTATCTTTGACTACCAGCAACCTTCCAGGGACCCAAACAGAACTTTTTCATATCATATCTGACTCTTGAAAAGAAAAAGTAACTGGAGATGCTACAGATTGAGTTACAAAATAATTTCATTATAAAATAAATGTGAAAGTTTAAGGACAGAGGATAAGTAACATTTACTGTGTTGAAAATCAAGAAGACAGATATTTCCTATTAATTTCTCCAGCACAAGCACAATTCTTCTTAAAGTATAGCTCAGTCATTTATTATTCTCCTTTCTTGGGATTTAGTTAAACATTTAAATTTCAAATGGAGGAGGCAAAACAGATGAGAAAGCAAAATATATCTTCAAGTTGCCTTCTTATACAAGTAGCTGATCAAGAATAATACATTTTTATGTTCTTTTAAAATCATCTCTAATTCTTTCATTAAGCCTACTTGTAGAAGCAAAAGGTAACTCACATGTAAGCGTGTTTGCTTCTGTTTAAATATTTCACCAATATGCATTGTAACAGGGAAAAAGCAAATACTGTTGTGGCTCTAAGAATGTATTCGTAAACAAATGTTTTTTAATTGCCATATTCAATCAGTGTGATCCTCAGTGGATTTTCCATATTCCCAAAATCTCAACATAGTTATTTGGTGTAAAGTACAATGTGTCTTATGGATCATCCAGTACCATAGTTTTCATGGCAGGCAGATTGTAGAATTTGGAACAAAAAAAGAGCATTTATATTGTTTCACATCATTTAAGCAAGAAGATAAAATTATTCTTCAGTGCATAATTTAAGTATATACTATAATAAGGGGGACTGAGAAAAATGCTCATTTTTTAAAATTTTATTGCAGAAGCTATGCTCTTGCTTTAATTTCACTATACTGGCTTCTCAGATCTAAACTACCTTTCTCTAAAATAACACAGTATTTTGAACTTACTGGAAAAAATATGCTTAGCTTTTTTATTTTCTTTCAGAGTATCATCTTTTGTTGACAGTAGAACAATTTGCTTTATCCTATTATTGGTTATCAGATAATGGGATTTAGTAATGCTTCTCCTAAAAAGAATAAATGCAGCTTTGTTTACCATTGACACAACAGGTACATTAGCTATTTGCAGACATTCAAATTGTGTATGCAGTGTTTCATTGGAATAATAATAGCCTAGCCTGACTGCCATATTGAATTCATCTTGGCACAAAGACCTACCTGCATAAAGGTCAGTGTCAACAGATTTTCTGCAAAGACACTGTACATTCCTGCTGTGCTTAGCTTGTCATCAGCTTCACAGGACTGTATCTGTATCTGATTGCTTAACTTTAATCTCTGCTTCTTCTTTTTTAATTGAACAAAATATTTTATTAGCATGCAACTCATTGTCTCTCTTCCTGCAATTACAGGCTCGACCAATGGATTATCCAAAGGACTTCCTATCCCATCAGGTTCCAATATCATTTCATAAACACTGGAATGTTGATCCAGTAAAGGTTTATTTCAGATGGTTGGCTCCAAAAGTGCAAGATTTGGAATATGGAAGTAAACATGTCAGAGAGGATTTATAATCTGTGAAAGTATTTAAATATTGTTACAAGCTTAATATGTAGAATATAGATTGAATTTTATTGCTCTATTTATAATTATTTGTTGCTCATATTGTACAAGACAATAAGGGCACAGTCTAATACCACTTTTGGCACAGTATGCTATTTTCTCCCTTTTGGAGCACTATAATTTGTATCACATAATTAGAACCACTGTTTAGGGATATAGTGTCTGCGCACAAGCCATTTAATCCCTTTATTGCCACATTGTGCATTCCTTTGTGTAGGTACTAATGAAGGATGGGTTGGAAACAAGTTTATATTGAATCCTGTGAGAGTCCTTCACATAGTATCCACAGTTGTACTAGACCATGCTCTGAAGATCGCTGCTCAAACTAAAATGGATACAAATTCATATTTGTGCACATATTCCTTTTTTTATTGGGCCTTAAAGTTTGTAAAATTAATGCTTTTATTCTAGAATTTTATAATGTTTATCATCTATTAGATGCTAAGATTTTTTGCCAGTTCTTAAACATCAACATGTTTTTCCTTGTTCTCTCTACCACACTCCTTTGCTTCCCAAAGAGATACATTTTGAAGGAAAAAATACACCACCATCTTCACACACACATTGTATCATATATAGTCATTGTGCAATTATTTAAGATGGTAACAGAATAGGAGAAAATGTTTGCCCAGAATGAGAGAAAGAAACATTGCCCTTAATTTCATTTCATCTTCTAGCAAAGTTTCACTGTTGTGTGACAATAACACAGCATTCTATTTCCCATAAGAACTTTAATTGCTTGGAATCAATTCAGGAAGCAGCAATTACTGGCAAGGATTGCACGTGCTTCAAAAATGGTGAGGAATAAGTGTTTCAACCTCAGAGAACCCAGCATTTTTTTGATGCTCATTAAAGGAGCCCCTTTTTTTCAAGTTTCTGTGCAAGTCTGCTGCTGTTTTCGGAGTCCTCGTGTTGCACTTGCCCAACATCCAAAGCACTTATGTTGATTTTTTTTAAGTGTGCACAGCCCTACTGGTTCTTCATTTTTTTCCTTGTGACAGCATTGAAATAATATGGAACAAACATGCTTGAATGTGGTGAATCAAAAGGCAAATTAGGGTCTTTTTGTAAAACATCTAATCTACCGTCATCTCACACTCTCCCTTTCTTCTTAAAAACCATATGAGTAAAAATTCATTGCAGCCCTGATAAAGAATTTGTATTCAATATGTATTCCATTCTAACTTTTCTAATAAAATTTCTTCCATCAAAGGCAGTTAAGGCTGTAAATCAATATTGTTTGCTATATTGTAGCCAAATACAAATTCTTAAAGCTGTATTGCATAACTGTTTTCATAAAGGTCTACTTTTGTGTTTTTAATAGCACAAGGCATTGTGTTCCAAAGTCCTGTCATTCTTAGACCATTGGAAAATGAATTATTTGACCAACATCAATAAAACAGTATATACATACTATGAATGTAGCGTGGATTTTTTTTTTTTGAGTGTACTCAGTGATCCTGCTCAAGATGGCTAAGCATTTGAATTAAAGGAGTCACTATCTTCTGTAGTTTCTGTATTTCCTTCTCTCAGTGCCTTAAACAATACATACATCTACTGATTCACATTTACTATGCTTTTTGTACTATATGGAATGAATTATTATTTATGTTTTACTATGTGGAATAAAACAAAATGGTTTAAAATAGTATAATATATTGTATTGGCACTTTTTTGTCAACAAAATAATAAACCAGGGGCTCCTAGCAGATTTTTTTCTCTTTTAAAATAAGACATTCTATGATTAATTTTATAACTTGCTTCTTCACTTGTTTACTCAACTCTTTAAAAAAAAATTCCTGTTTTATTTTCATGCTTTTATTTGTAAATCATAAAATGCTCTTTCATAGTTCCTGAAGGGTGATTATGTTAATAATATATTGAAACAGATCCTTGTTCTAATAAAGTCATTAATTCAGTCTTGAAAATAGAATTGTCAAAAATATGCCATGATAAGTAAAAACAGAAAGCAATCAAGGCCATGAAGATTTTGAAAAGTGATAACGTACTGGTTTTGCATTATGTCAGGAATTATATTAAAAGATTTCCAAAATTAGCCTGATATTTAACAACTTTCCTGAGAATGAATTATGATATTGAACACTCTCTTTACTATATTTATTCAACTCTTGATATCACTGTATTGGAGGTTCCTCATTCACAGGCATGCTTAGTAATGAGGCCTTTTGGGGATCTTGGAGGGTAATATTCTCAAAGCATTTGCAATTCAGCTTTCCTTTGGAAGCTCAGAAGAGAAATTGTGCTTTGAATGTTCAGACTTCATTTTCTTAATATTTTAAATTTTGTCATTGTTAGAATTATTAGCTATTCTTAAAAGTTAGTTTATTTCTGATAGCCCTCTCCTTCCATTGTCCCTTCCCTTCCTGTGTCTGGACACATCCTCTAAATATGTAGCATGGATTAATTATTACTCCAATGAGAACAAAATGACAAAGAAATAGCATATAGCATTTATTTATTTATTTACATATTTAAAATAGAATTATATGTGGGCAGAAACTGATTTTCTTAACTTTCTTAAATATAGTCTAAAATAATTAGTTTGTTTATTATTTTATTCATTTATTAAATCTGTGTAGCCACCCATCGGCTCACTGCTGCCACTCTGGGCAGCTTACGGAGTTGAAAACCAAAAAGCACTAAAAGACAACCACGAAAACCTGCAAAAATAATTAAAAACAATAAAACTATTAAACCATACAGAGCATAATCTGCAAGACAGCACCATTCATTTTCTAGAATTATTATTATTATTATTTTAAATTTATCGGCCTCCCAACTCCAGTACCAGTATAAATATAACCATTCAACAGGCTCTCTGCCATCATGTGGATTCCCCAGGCTAAATGACAATGCCATGTCTTCAGGCTGTAGTTGAATTGTTTGGATTTTTTAATGACAGAATAGGTAATAGTTTGTCCCTAGGACTTGCATATGCCTCCCGCCAGCACAGCATACTCTTGCAGATGTTTAAATTTTCTGAAGTCTGCATAAGCAGTAAGCAATAGCATGCAGGGGCTTACAAACTGTTCAGTAATAGATACGCGGGATTGCTAAGAAGCAAGAGTTTGCTTCAAAATATGTTTTTCCATACAAATCTTTCAGCGATAATGATGGGACATTTTGAATTTAAAACTGTTACAAACTGTTATTCAACATGGAGGCCTGGCATGAGTATAAGATAAATGTGTTGTGAACCTATTATGCTAATTTACCAGAAAACAGTAATGGGACTGCTAAACAATGCCTGATTGCTTTCACTTGATTCTTCCTACCTTCAGAATGAAAGCAAGCAGGAAATCTCAGAGACTATCTATCATCTCTCTCTATCTTCTGTCTCTGTCTGTCTGTCTGTCTGTCTATCTATCTATCTATCTATCTATCTATCTATCTATCTATCTATCTATCTATCTATCATCTGATAGATTGATATGGTCGGTGACTAACATAGGATTAAAACCAAAAACATAAAAATAAAACTGTAACCAAGGCTAATCCATCATCATTCAATATTCCAACTGTTACAGGCAGGCTTTCCAGGACTCTCACCTAATGCCTGGGGGTGGCATCCAGATCTTGAGAGTTATGCTGTTCCAATAGGTAAGCACTGTGGCAGAGGAAGTACACCTCTTGGGTCCTGCTAGTTGACAGTGTTTTATAGAAAGGAGCAGAGCGTGCCCCATCTGTTGGATCTTCTGGGATGGGCAGAGACAATTGGACATAGGTAGTCTCACAAATAATCTAGTCCTATCTCATGGAGAGCTTAAATTCTAACAGGAAGTCTACTGGGAGTCAGTGCAGCTCACAAAACAGTGTTCTATGGGAGTACTTTGGTGCTCCATACCTACCTGTGCCACTGCATTCCAAACCAGTTGCAGCTTCTGGATGGTGTTCAAGGGCAGTCCCACGTACATTACCTGGGATCCATATGTACGGTGTACATTACATGTACATCCTGTACATTACAATAATCTACATGTGAGGTGGCCAAGGTGTGAGTAATTGTGCGTGAGGCCTCCCAATCCTGGAACATGGGCAATTGCTGCACAGGATAGATTTGTTCAAAGGCCCTCCTACTCTTAAAGCAGGAGCTGAGACAGCTTCCACCTGCTCTTCAAGCAGGAGCTGAGTTCAAGATGACCCCCAAATTGTTAGGAGGAGTGCTACCCCATTCATAACTAAAGATGGAAAGTCCCCAAATCCAGGGAGCCCAAAAATCCATAGTCTTCTTAGGAATGACTCAAAGTCTGTTCTTCCCCAGACCTCCACAGTCTCCAGGGAAAGAACCATGACACAATCACTTGGTTGACATGGAGGAGAGGTATATTTCACCAATGGGAAGATATCCCTAACATTTGCATGATGAGTGAGTGACCATACAAATTGAATAAATAAGAAATAAAATCTGCTTTCCTGTAATTAAAACCATATGCCATGCCCTTCACTTTCAGACAAGTCTCTTCCCCTCACTTTCTGCATGTTCTTTATTACGGCTTCTTCTTCCCCTCCTTCTCTCAATTACTGATACTGGAACATTTGTGAGTTTCCTCCCAGTTGTCTTGCTGCCAAAAAAAGGCTTTAACTCAAAAAATTCCGCTGTCCAGCATCTGAGTCTCCGTATGCACAACACAGGCTGTCTTCCTGGTCTTTCCACACACTCACAAGATGCTCCAGGCTTTTTTTCCAGATCTTTCTCCTCATCTAGGGCTGAAATCTCTTGACTTGGCAGGCTGGGTTATTCCTCCATTCCACTCCAGTTAACCAGGTGATGTCACCTCCTGCAGCATCTGAAATATAACCACTACCCCCCCACACACACCCTTTCTCTGATTTTTCTTGTTATAATAGAAAGCATAGACATGCTTTGGATATAATATATAAGCATGTCTATGCTGCTGTACAGGGGCATTCTAGCATTTTCCCATTTTCTACCTACATGCTCTTGGTCTTGTGCTGAGTTATCTGCCTTCGCTAAAAAAATCCATGATGCTGGTACAGACCCAACCATTTTCCACCCACAAGGCACTTCACCCTGCCGCAGCCCACTTGCACAATAAATACATAATTATTCATACAATTATATGTTCCAAGTATTTAGAATATAATTCAGACATTCATTTTCAATTTTAAACCATATTCATCTTTGTAACATCTTCCTAACAAACTTATAAATATTAAACCAAATGGGGCAATAGCAGGACAAACCCATATCATAAGAATAAGAATCTTCTCACCATTAACCAATTACAACACAATGAAGTTGACAGTCAAACCTTTTAAAACATTCTGTATGGTATCCAGTAAACACGAAAAAGCACCTTTTGTTGAATGGTCTGTTTTAAGTGTACTTATTTAAGACCCTTAACTGTTAAAGTGTTAGAGTTCTTGCAAAGAACAACAGCAATCTAGGCAATGCTTTCTAACGATGTGTATGTGTGTCTATACATATATACACAGATACACATACACACAACCAAACTATAAACATAGAATCAGACAAAATACATTCCAATACCAACAGTAAATTGGGAGCTTTAGATGCTGCTAAAGTGTCTCAGTGTTTCTCAGACTTGGCAACTTTAAGACATGTGGATTTCAACTCCCAGAATTCCCCAGCCAGGGTGAAGAACATTGTGAAATCAAGAGATGTTTTTCACTATCCAAATTTCTCTTGCAGTAACTCAGTTTAAACTGTGTTTGGCAATATGCTGATCTAAAGTATTGATACTCTATTTATTTAACTGTCATGTTCAAACTAGGATTATTCCAGAACATACATTTCGTATATAAGTAAGGATCATAATTATGCTTCTTCCAAATGTATCTTGCAACCTCCTATTTGGATTACTGTAACATGCTGTACATGGGGCTGTCCTTGAAGAGCATTCAGAAATGGCAGTGCAGAATGCAGCAGCGTGGGGCAGTTCTTGACATTTCTCATTTCGCCCATCCTGTATAACATTCCTGCTCCACAAACTGCGCTGGCTCACAGCAGACTTCCAAGTGCAATTCAAGGTGCTGGTTGTCACCTATAAAGCTCTACATGGCATAGGGCCAGGCTACTAGCAGGACTACCTTCCTTCCACTGTTTCCACTCACGCCACCAGATTTAGTAGAGAGGGCATGCTCCAGGTCCCCTCTATTAAACAACATCATATTGTTGGTCCCAGGAGTTGTGTCTTCTCTGTGGAAGCCCCTGCCTTGTGGAACAGCATTCCTAGAGATCCAGATGGCCCTGACTCTGTTAGCCTTTTGTAAGGCTCTGAAGACCTGGCTGTTTCCCCAGGCATTTGGGCCAGGAGGCTCTGTTGTTGATGTGGTTTTATGATTTTATAACTTTATGATTGGAAGGTATCATCATGGGCTATTTTTTTAACCGTTGGGTTTTTGATCTGTAGAAAGTGCACTGTAAGGTCTATAAAGACTCAGTTTTATTAAAAAAGGAATGAAACACCTCCCAAATTCCTCCTCCCAACATTTGGGGGAAAATAAGAAAATAAGTGTCATGACATTCTGCAAGTATTTTCACCTCTAACTGCATCCTTCCACCTCCCAACAAATGCTACATATATCCTCAGGTCAACAGACAATTGCCAA